CAGGGACCTGAGGCTTGCGGAGGACCTCCACAAATCCTCACCCTCTGACGTGACACGACAGGCTGTCAATGAGATTAGAGCTGACTTGGAAGTCCATCAACTCCAACGAGTTGAGAGGGCTCTCCGCAAACTCAAAAGCGAATATTACAGACAGGGGAACAGGGCGGGGAAACTGTTGGCCGCCCAACTGAAAGACAAACACGCCCAAACGCGCATTCCATACCTAGTAGATAAAAACGGGACGAAACTGACGAACCCCAAGCTGATAGCTGATGAATTTGCGACATTTTACGGTGCCCTCTATAACCTGGGGAATGATCCTCTACAACACCAGTCGACCCCACTGGAGATAGCCGCCTACTTAGATAAAGTGGCACTCCCCCAGCTCACCAGCGCCCAAGCCTCACTACTCACCAGCAAAATTACTCCAGAGGAAATCTCAAAAGCACTTAGAGAAACCCCCCGACATAAAGCCCCAGGGCCTGACGGCTTCCCCGCTCACTATTATAAGACCTTTGAGGAACAACTCCTTCCCCACATGACCTCCCTGTTCAATAACATCATGGAATCAGGCTCCATACCCCCCGAAATGCTAGAGGCCACCATAATTACTATTCCCAAGCCGGGCAAGCCCACGGAATTTTGCGCGAACTATCGCTCCATCTCCCTGCTTAACGCCGACACAAAGCTCTTTGCTAAAATTCTTGCCAACAGAATACGCCCCCTCCTGGGTACACTCGTGTCCCCGGAACAATCGGGTTTTGTCCCGGAACGCCAGGTAGAGGACAACACAAGGCGTGCACTAGACATAATGGAACTCCTGACAGTACATAGAACACAGGGACTACTAATGGCCCTTGACGCGGAGAAGGCCTTCGACCGGCTACACTGGGGCTACATGACGGAGGTCCTCCGCAGGTTTGGATTCCCCGACAAATTTCTCAATGGCCTCCGGTCATTGTATTCCTCCCCGACAGCCGTGGTGGTGAGCTCCGGTTTCACCTCTCAACGTTTTGCCCTGACAAATGGCACGAGACAGGGATGCCCATTGTCGCCCCTTATCTTTATCCTGTCACTAGAACCGTTAATGCACAAAATTAAGCAGGAGGAGAGCGTCACGGGTATCCCCACACTAATAAGTCCCCAAAAAATAGCGGCCTTTGCTGACGACATCCTGCTATTTCTGACTAACCCGACAGAATCACTGAAACATCTTCTACTCCTGCTCCATGATTATGGCCTTGTGTCCTTGTGGCCTTGTGTACAAAAACAACGAAGCAAAGACTCAGGTATTACCCTTTAACGTGCCCCACCCTCACCTAACTCCACTGCGAGCTCAGTACCCCTTTGACTGGCGGAAAGACAATCTCTCCTACTTAGGTACAAAACTGGCACCCTCCAGACGTAACCTACTCCGACATAACCATGACGCCTTGCTAAATAAAACCGAGACACTGCTGGAGAGCTGGGGGGCAAAAAACACATCATGGCTGGGACGCATAAACTCCATAAAAATGATCATACTCCCCCAAATATTATTCCTCTTCAGGGCCCTCCCCATTGATATACCGAAGGGGCTACTACAGCGATTCCAACGTTTGCTGAACGCGCACATATGGAAGAAGAAACCACCTAGGGTCTCTCTGGCAATTACATCCCTGGTTATGGGGAATGGGGGGCTGGGTGTACCCAATATTTCTAAATACTACATAGCCACGAATCTATCCCAAACAGTAAGACTGCTGAGAACCCCAAACCGCCCCCTGTGGTACCAATTAGAAACGGCAACTGCTACGCCCCATGCATTATTAGACTTACTCTGGGTCCCGACCAGTTCGCACCCATGCGACGCAAACATGCTGGTGACCACAAAACACTCTCTACGCATATGGCACAGGTGGGCCCCGAAACTCCTAGCCCAACCTCTGATACTATACGCCCCCATGACTAGCCTAAAATACCTCACACAAGATCTGGTTCTAGACGGGTGGTTGGCACAGGGGATAGAGAGGGTATCCCAACTAATGGAGGGTAGCGAGATCAGACAATTCCCGACACTTCAGCAGACCTTCCTCATCCCGAGTAGGGAACTCTTCACCTACCTTCGCATTAAGCACATACTGCAGGGGGTCAAACAAGCGACGCCTAACACCAGAGAGCCAGGCTCGTTCGACACACTGTGCCTCAGACGTAAGACCCAAGCAACACCACTCTCTCTATGTTACCAAAATCTCCTGGAGATAGGCAAGCCCGATAAGCTAAGCTACATGGTACACTGGGAATCGGAACTCAATAGCACAATAGAGAGTAGTAAATGGTCCGCAGCGATGGCGCTTGTGAAACGAGCCACACACTGCCTGGACCATGTTGAGGCGGCCTATAAACTCTGGATGAGGTGGTATCTCACCCCACGGAGGCTGGCACTTATATACCCAGGGGCACAACAAGTATGCTGGCGCTGCTGCGCACAGACGGGTACTTTGAGCCATATCTTCTGGCACTGTCCAGTACTACACAATTTCTGGAGACAGGTACAGGTGTTACTCCAAAACAATATACAGAAAAGGATACCATTCACACCGGAGGCTTACCTCCTACACATGCTTCCCAAATCACTGTCCCACCCGGAGGCGGTGCTGACCACCCATGTTACCCTAGCAGCCAAACACTGCATAGCTTCCCTCTGGAAATCTACCTCAGCCCCGGAAATAACAGTGGTAGTTAATAGAATAAATCTCACGCAACACCTTGAGAAAATAGCGCATACGATCCGGGGCACTCTAGCACGATACAACCTGATCTGGTCCAACTGGTCTGGACAATGAGACGAAGCCCGTGTCGCCCTAGGTCAGCGTAGAGAAAACAGTAATAGGGAACTAACGCACCCCAGATGTACGAGGATAATGTAATACAGGGAAGCCACCCTAAGCAAAACTCCCGTATAAGCAGAGGTAGTTGGAGAACAGTGGCTAAAAGAGCCACCGCAAAACAAAACATGGTGTAGAGACATCTCAACCCACCATCCTTACCCTTACCTGGTTGCTGACCCCCACCACCCTCTCCTCCCCCCCCCCAAAACCCCATCATCCCAAGCAGCTAACCACGTAGAAAATGACGCAGAAATGTACAAAATGTACACACAAAAATGTAACCATACAATGTATCTTGCGCAACATGTGTGTGTAATAATCAATAGTATTTGCACTCAACAATGTGACCTGCTTGTGTGAAATTATATACCCTTCCCTTTATTTCATTTCTGTACCCCGCTGTTTACATTTCTATGACAAAAACCAATAAAAATGATACATTGGAAAAAAAAAAAAGAAAGCTTCTATCGATGCCCAATTATTGTTTTGTGCCTCTTCCTCCCATCTCAAAATATGTACCAGGAGGGAGGCTTCCTGATATTTCTTAAAGGACCACTATAGTGCCAGGTCCCCCTCCCGCCCGGCTCTGGGGAGAGGAAAGGGGTTAAAACTTACCTTTCTCCAGCGCTGGTCGGGGAGCTCTCCGCCTCCGATCCTCCTCCTCTCCTCCCTTTTGGCTGAATGCGCACGCGCAGCAAGAGCCGCGCGCATTCAGCCGGTCTCATAGGAAAGCATTTACAATGCTTTCCTATGGACGCTTGCGTGTTCTCACTGTGATTTTCACAGTGAGAATCACGCAAGCGCCTCTAGCGGCTGTCAGTGAGACAGCCACTAGAGGATTTGAGGGCTGGATTAACCCATTTATAAACATAGCAGTTTCTCTGAAACTGCTATGTTTATAAAAAAATGGGTTAACCCTAGCTGGACCTGGCACCCAGACCACTTCATTAAGCTGAAGTGGTCTGGGTGCCTAGAGTGGTCCTTTAATATCTGAATATGCAATCCCTCCACCAGAAATTTTTTTGACCAAATTTGGTATCTTAATGCGCATTCTTTTATTCTGATGGATGAATACATCAATCGCCCGCTGTAAATTATTCAGCAAATAAACGGGACACTACCAGGGTATGCAGCGCATAATATAACTGATCTTAGGTAATATAGTCATCTTAATCGCTGCTATTCTACCTGACCAGGAAATATTGAGATTTTTCCATGTGGCTAGCACTTGAATTATATTAGAATAAACTAATTGGAAGTTAACTGTTATAGTTTTTTTCATTTCAGCAAACAGTTTAATTCCTAAATGAGTTATTGAGTATTGCCAATTAAACTGATATAGTTGGCTCAGGGAATTTTTCTCAGACCGTCCCATATTGAGGCACAGCGCTTTGGATTTTTTAACATTTTATTTATAATTAGAGATTTCACGATATTCAATTATAGCCTCTTGAATGGCTATTAGGAATTTTTCCGGATTTTCTATTGTTATTATTACATCATCAGCATATAGGGAGATTACATCAGGTTTTCGATTTACAACAATTCCTGTTATATCTAGAGATTCCCTTATCGCAGTCGCCAGTGGCTCAATTATCAAGGCAAAAATTAGTGGGGAGAGTAGGCAACCTTGCCTGGTACCATTTGAAATGACAAACCTTTCAGACCGAAAGTTTTGACCCGTACCGCTCGCAGTTGGAAATGTATATAGAGCAGCTATCGCCTTAGAGGCAAAGTCACCTAAGCCATATTTTGACAGGGTGAGGAACATAAAGTCCCAATCCACCCTGTCAAATGCTTTCTCAGCATCGAGTCCCACAAAGACTGCAGTTGTTTTTTTATTTTTAACCACTGAGATTAAATATAGAAGTTTACTAATGTTATCTGAACCCTGTCTCCCCTGAATAAAGCCTGTTTGATCAAAATTGATCAAATTGTGGATATGTTGATTCAATCTTTCCGCTAAAATTTTAGCATAGATCTTAATATCCACGTTAAGAAGGGAAATGGGTTTAAAATCTCTACATTCAGGGGTTAGATTGTTTGTTTTGGGGATTGTTATTATTTGAGCTTCCAACATTTCTGTATGTGCTCGGCCAGTCTTCTTAATTTCATTACTCTAGTGACAGAGTGAGGGAGGGTGTGACTAGTGAGACAGAGAGGGAGGGGGTGACTAGTGACAGTGAGGAAGGGGGTGACTAGTGACAGAGGGAGGAGTGACTAGGGACAGAGTGAGGGAGGTGGTGACTAGTGACAGTCACCACCTCCCTCACTCTGTCCCTAGTCACCACCTCCCTCACTCTGTCACCAGTCATCCCCTCACTCTGTCACTAGTCACCCCTTCCCTCACTCTGTCACCCCCTCACTCTAGTGACAGAGTGAGGGATGGTGTGACTAGTGACAGAGAGAGGGAGGGGGTGACTAGTGACAGAGTGAGGGAGGGTATGACTAGTGACAGAGTGAGGGAGGGGGTGACACAATGACAGAGGGAGGGATGGGGTGACTAGTGACAGTCACCACCTCCTTCACTCTGTCACTAGTCACTCCCTCCCTCCCTCTGTCATTGTGTCACCCCCTTCCTCACTCTGTCACTAGTCACCCCCTTACTCTGTCACTAGTCAGCCCCTCTCTCACTCTGTCACTAGTCATCCCCTTCCTTACTGTCACTAGTCACCCCCTCCCTCTCTCTGTCACTAGTGCCACCCTCCCTGTCAGAATATTTATATCGGTAGACATTGTGTGCTAAGAAAGAAATTAAAAGTGTATATTGCCAGAGTCACTCAGAACAGAGCGGACTCCATTTTGCTATCTTCAGGATAACAAAAACACATAATTTCCTTGATTTCACTAACCACTGAGTTTGAACTAAGGAATGCATTATATAAACACAGACACTAGTGACAGAGAAGACTAAGTAATTAATTTTACTTTCTAAATTTTACAAGGTTCCATTGTAAGTAAGGGGTGAAATTGAGTTTAGAACTGTCAATTTTACAAAGTACGATCAAAGTAGTTGCCACAAAGACTGAGACAAACACTTTGAACTGAGAGCAAATCTAAGTTATGGTAGTCATTTTAGATAAGCCAAATGACGTCAAAATCGTCATCAGGAAAAGTTAACTCTTTTCTGGATAAGAAGGATTAGTTAGGCAAGACTGCCCTCTATGGATCAAATACCTAAATTGCGATCCATAGATTGAACACACCTACGGCTTTCTATTGGCTTCATCAACTAATGACGTACAGAGAGTCTGGCCCTTTAAAAGTTAGGACAAAGGGAAGAGAGACAGAGTTGGAGAGAGTTGGTGTTTGGGCATTCAGATTCGGACATGCGGAGAGAGAGACTCAAGAAACAATCTCTGGGACTAACACTCTACTCTTAAACTCTCTTGGACACTCAACTCTTAAACTCTTTGACACTTAGAATTTTACTCTGACTTTCTAACCAACACCACTTTCTCTATTACTCACGCACCTCCATACAACCAATCAAGTTCCTGGGACTACCTACTCATCTGATGAGAATATCTACATAACTGGTAATTATGCTGGTTTTATTTAATTAATTAAAATTAATAAAAATTTACTAATAGCATGATATATGACTGGATAAACCACGGTCAGATTTCAATATTTAGAAATCTTAGTTAACTAAAGAATATATAGTTATAAGCATTACATTCTGCAGGTGGAATTAAGAATAATTATATATTAATGTGATAGTATCACATGTTAGCATACCGCTGTTTTTATCCAGGTGTATTGATTTGCTCTAAAATAAGATAAGATATCTTTTTAGGCAAATTAAAATTCGGCTTTTGTAAAAATCTGGTAGATTATTCTTATTGGATGGTTCCAGGAAATGATTAATGAGCTGGTTCAAATGTTATTTTAATTGAAAATCACAGGAGAATAGGATACTATATGCCTAGGAGGATCTAGCCAGCATTGAAAGGGTTACTCAGTTGATTTAACTGTTAGCCAAGGTTTTACTCTGTGTGAAGTTTGCTTTCTGTGTCTGCGAAAACCTCGTAAATCTTAAGTGACAGATGATGCTGTTAGCCATTGGAATTTGTATAGACATTCCATTGTATTACATACTTATGTTAAACTAAATATTCACTGATTATTATCATGCATGCTGCCTAATATTATTTTTTAATTAATTTGTTACAATAAATAAATCTATTTTTATAACAAATTGTGATTTTATTGTATGGAACACAATTCACTTATTTGATAAACGATCTCTAAGATCTAAGAGTATTGAAATAGTGGGCAACTCTCGACTGCTTAATATTATCATCCCATAAATATCCCCACATCCCTCACTCTGTCACTAGAGTGAGGGGGTGACTAGTGACAGAGGGAGGGGATGACTGGTGACCAAGTGAGGGAGGGGGTGACTAGTGACAGAGTAAGGGACGGAGGGGGTGACTAGTGAAAGAAGGAGGGAGTAGTGACAGAGGGAGGTGGTGACTAGTGACAGAGTGAGGGAGGTGGTGACTAGTGACAGTCACCACCTCCCTCACTCTGTCACTAGTCACCCCTTCCTTCCCTCACTCTGCCACTAGTCACCCCTTCACTCTAGTGACAGAGTGAGGGAGGGTGTGACTAGTGACAGAGTGAGGGAGGGGGTGACTAGTGACAGAGTTAGGGAGGGAAGGGGTGACTAGTGACAGAGTGAGGAAGGGGGTGAAAAGTGACAGAGGGAGGGGTGACTAGGGACAGAGTGAGGGAGGTAGTGACTAGTGACTAGTGACAGTCACCACCTCCCTCACTCTGTCACTAGTCACCACCTCCCTCACTCTGTCACTGGTCACCCACTCCCTCCCTCACTCCCTCTGTCACTGGTCACCCACTCCCTCCCTCACTCTGTCACAAGTCATCCCCTCACTCTGTCACTAGAAACCCATTCCTTCCCTCACTCTGTCACCTGTCACCCCCCTTACTCTGTCACTAGTCACCTACCTCACTCTAGTGAGGGAGGGTGTGATTAGTGACAGAGTGAGGGAGGGTGTGACTAGTGACAGAGAGAGGGAGGGGGAGACTAGTGACAGAGTGAGGGAGGGAAGGGGTAACTAGTGACAGAACTGAGAGCAAATCTAAGTTATGGTAGTCATAAGTTATGGTGATTAGTGACAGAGGGAGGGATGGGGTGACTAATGACAGTCACCACCTCCTTCACTCTGTCACTAGTCACCCCCTCCCTCACACTGTCACTGTGTCACCCCCTTCCTCACTCTTTCACTGTGTCACCCCCTTCCTCACTCTGTCACTAGTCACCCACTCCCTCTCTCACTCTGTCACTAGTCACCGCCTCTCTCACTCTGTCACCAGTCATCCCTTCCTTCCCTCACTCTGCCACTAGTCATCCCTTCCCTCACTTTGTCACCAGTCATCCCCTCACTCTGTCACCAGTCACCCCTTCCTTCCTTCACAGTGACAGAGTTAGGGAGGGATTGACTAGTGACAGAGAGAGGGATGGGGTGACTAGTGACAGAGGGGGTGATTAGTGACAGAGTGAGGAAGGGGGTGACTAGGGACAGAGGGGGTGATTAGTGACAGAGTGAGGAAGGGGGTGACTAGTGACAGAGTGAGGGAGCGGGTGACACAGTGACAGAGTTAGGGAGGGAGTGACTAGTGACAGAGAGAGAGATGGGGTGACTAGTGACAGTCACCCCCTCCCTCACTCTGTCTTCACTCCCTCCCTCTGTCACTAGTCACTCCCTCCCTCTGTCACTTGTCACTCCCTCACTCTGTCACCAGGCATCCCCTCACTCTGTCACCAGTCATCCCCTCACTCTGTCACTAGTCACCTCTTCCCTCCCTCACTTTGCCACTAGTCATCTCTTCCCTCCCTCCCTCACTAGTGCATTAATGATGCTAACAGATGATATTGACTTGTGAGTCTTATGGGCTTTGTGTTGTCCAATGCCCAAATAAACTGAAATAAATCAATCACTGCTGAATAGATATAGCCCCAATGAAAACATGCATGCATTTAATAACACATTCTTTCATAGGGGGTATATAAAACAGCTTGCACAAGAAGCACATCTCTTGTCTGAAGCCTTTGCTAGCCTCTCCCTTTTAACCTAGCCCAGACGTTCGCATTGTTCAAATTAATTTTACAACTATTGATTTGTTTTCCGCCAAAAAAACTTGCCAGCGAAACAGTAGATATCACCAGGCTTAGCTTAATAATACCGTGCAAAACAAGTTTTAAAATATATATTTTTTAATTGTATTGAAACGTCATGCAATCTGTAGAAATATAGGGTTTACTGACATAATTTACACACATCAGATGCTTGGAACTGCTTTAGTAAAAATGGCTAGTGGGTGGAGATAAAAAAAAGTATGATTTTCTGATATAATTTTTTTTTAAGGGTGTATGTTGCGATAATACTGATTCATAGAAGCATATGATGCATGATATGAGATAATGCTGTCTTAATCTCTGTGCAGAGGCCGCTAATGTAACACAAAAATGCATCTTATAGAGCAGATGTAGACAACCTTCGGTACTACAGATGATACGAACTAAATTTCCCCAAGATGCTTTGCCATCATTATCGCTGTAAGGACAGTGTGGGATTGTGGGAAATGTCCAAAACAACTGAAGTGTCGAAAGTTGCCTACCCCTGTTATATGGCATCGTGCAGATAATCATTCTGCTATGATGATTGATAGTATATGAAACACTGGTTTTCACACATTTTTGTTATTCTTGAAATAGTCTTCATGATAATTGAAATGTCTGTTATTAGTTTTGTTGTATGAAATGTTTTTTTTATGCAGTAATTCTTCTTTAAGTATTATGTTTACGCACACCAAAAAATTCTATATGTAGGTGTACAGTATAACCTTATTTACCCTTGTTTTTTAAGAATAATCACTCTATACATGTTGTGGCGGCCCCTTTGGAATCGAGTAAAGAAAGGAGAGGAGAGCTTCTGACGGGTGCAGTAATTTATTCTTTGCATCAGAAATGTTTTGGAGTGCTATGAACACCACAGTGTCAATATCTTTAAACACCATGAGCACTGTGAACACCCTAACCATCATAAGCACCATGAAAACTCGCTCCACTTGCCAAGGGGTACAACTTTAAACTTTAGAAAAACCTTGATAACAATCGCCTTCCCAAGAGGTGCTGCTAGCTTGCGTTGTATCTGAATTCTGAGTTACAGAGAGCTTTTTCCTGCCACAACTAGAGGAAGGAGGGGTCTGATGATTCAACATTCCACTAGGAAACAAGAGGAAGGCAGAAAGGTTCCGCCTGTGGCAGTCAGTGCAGAACAAAGATTTAAAGTTATAAGCGGACACCTACACTCCCACCAAATTATGTTATGATGAATGTAACTTAAAGAGTCTCCAGAGCTGCACCATTCATGTGGAACTCACTTCCCTCCTCCGTTAGATGCTCACCCAGTCTCCACTCCTTCAAAAAAATCGTTAAAAACCCACTTCTTCATAAAAGCGTATCAATTAAACTGTTAAATGTTTCAGACTGATTCCTCTCTTGCAACTGTCACTAGTCTAATACTCAGTGGCGTACTAAGAGGCGGGGCGGGGGGGGCGGTCCGCCCCGGGTGCCAGCCGGGTGGGGGGTGCCATGGCCAGCCCCGCCGGCCCCCCCCCATGCTGCAGCCGCCTGAGCGCTCTGCAGAGAGCCTCAGGCGGCTGCAGCTTTGCCCGGGGGGTGCGTCCATGAAGGCGGAACGCACCGCCCGGGCGCAGCATGGGGAGAGGGGGCTGACAGGAGGGAAGCGCTCAGCGCTCCCTCCTGTCACTCCCTCTGTAGAGCACGAGCCCGAAGCATGGCACAGGAGCAGCTGCTCCTGCACCGTCGGACTAACAGGAAGTGCACACACCAGTGTGCACTTCCTAGTCCAGCCGGTACAGGAAACAAAAGCCCTGCACCAAGAGACCATACTGCCCCGCCACGCCACAGAAAAAGGTAAGTAGGGCAGGGAGGTGAGAAAGGGGAGAAAGAGAGTAGAAGGAGGAAAGAGAAGAGAAAGAGGGGGTGAGAGAGAAATGAGGGGGGAGAGAAAGGAGGGGGTGTATATTAATTATGGGGGTGTGTATATTAATTATGGGGGGTATTATTGGGGTGTATTAATTATGGGGGGTGTATATTAATTATGGGGTGTATTAATTATGGGGGTGTGTATATTAATTATAGGGGGTGTATTAATTATGGGGGTGAATTAATTATAGGGGTGGATTAATTATGGGGGGTGTATTAATTATGTGGATTAATTATAGGGGTGGATTAATTATAGGGGTGGATTAATTATGGGGGGTGGATTAATTAGGGCGGAGTGGATTAATTATGGGGAGTGGATTAATTAAGGGGGGTGGATTAATTATAGGGGTGTATTAATTATGTGGGGTGTATTAATTATGGGGTGTATTACCATGGGGGTGTATTAAGGGGGGTGGATTAATTATGGGGGTGGATTAATTTAAGGGAATTAATTATGGGTAGTGGATTAATTAAGGGGGGTGTATTAATTATGGGGGTGTATTAAGTGGGGTGTATTAATTAAGTGGGGTGTATTAATTAAGGGGGGTGTATTAATTATGGGGGTGGATTAATTATGGGGGGTGGATTAATTATGGGGGAGTGGATTAATTAAGGGGGTGGATTAATTAGTGTGGATTAATTAAGGGTGTGTATCAATTAAGGGGGGTAGATTAAGGGTGTGTGGATGAATTAGTGTGGATTAATTAAGGGGTATGGTTTAATTAAGGAGTGTGGATTAATTAAAGAAAACCTTTAACATTTTTTAAAGGTTTTTTTTTTTTTTTTTTGGGTTGGGGGGGGTTGCCAAGCACAGGATCCGCCCCGGGTGCCAAATGCTCTAGGTACGCCCCTGCTAATACTATCCTTACCTTTTTGTGTCACTTTACCCCACTCCCTCTAGCATGTAAGCTCATTGAGCAGGGCCAACAAAGCCTCTGTTCCTGTGTGTCCAACTGGTCTGGTGACAACTACATGTCTGTTCGTCCACCCACTGTAAAGCGCTATGGAATTTGTTGGCGCTATATAAATAATAACATACTAATAATAAGAGTCATACATAATTTATAAAGGTGAGCTGTACACAATTTAGCTTATAGGTACCTCTGTAACTGGCTACTGTATTGTGTGTTAGTGTAGCACTAAAACTGATACATTATTTACTCTCTATAAAGACTACTAATTTTTGAATAGGGTGTTCAATTATTGAAGGTTTTGATCTTGACAGCCTTCCACCAACACGAAGAGGTCCTTGAACCAGAATGGGGTCAAGGTAACTAAGTGGGCTTGAACTTGGAAGACTATCTCCTTTTTGAAGAAGTTTTAGCTCTTGGGGGAAAACTTGCTGTTGAACTAAACCTACCTAATCACTACCTCCCCAGCCCTTCCCACGTTCCTCCACAGTGCACAGCAAGGCGTGGTCACCCTTTTAGGAGACCTGGCTGGATTTGAACTCAGTCTCCAGCATCCAAGTCAGGTTCTCTACCTTGCTGGCCACCAGGGTTTTCAGTATCTACCTGTATTTGTCTGCTTCATGACTCCTTGCCTTGATGGAGCAGTGCTGATCCACCCGCAGCCCCTTACCAGTTAGGGTCAGCTGCTCCTAATCAGTAGACTGTAAAAGCCAGCTCTGCCCGAGGCCTGGTATCTAGTCGTTTTGTTTTTTCATGCCGGATCTTTGTTACTCTGCTGACTGATTTCCTGGACTCTGACCTCTACATCGGCTTCTCGTCTGACTCTGCCTTTGGATTATCCCTTCATCTGTACTGCGCTTTGGTTTTTGCTTCCTCCTTGTTCCATCTCCTGCACCTGTGCTCCAACTCCTGGTAAACTGTGACACTTACAGGATTGCTGCAGTGATGTGTCTTCAATCTTATTCTCTTGATTCTTGCAATCACCTTAATGAGCATTGACCAACTGGAAAACTTGTTCAGACAATTCAGAACATCAGTTTGCTCATTGACTTGTGATGCAAGGGTTGTAAGGGATTTGACTTCAGGGTTGCCTACAATCAGTTCTGCTGAAGAGCGTGGAGATGCGAGCATTTCAGATTTCCATAAGAAACTTGGCCCAGATAACCAGCTTGAGGGAAATGCAGGGTTAAATTTAATGTTAGAAGTGGTTATGGTAAAGGGGGGTTTTAGGTTACAGAGGGGTTAATATTAGAGTTTGATTGCATAGGGACAAAGGGTATTTAGTGTTAAGAAGATTAACAGCTTGAGAGGTGTTTTAGTATAAGGACTGATTTTGGGCTAGACTTGTACTAAATTTAGTATTGGGATACAAGAGGTGTTTAGTTGTTAAGAGTAGTTAAACATAAGATTAAGGTAAAGGGCTGGACTGGGGATACAAAGCAGCCCTGGAAAAAAAAATCTATGCCAGCCCCATGAGTCATTGTGCCATGTATTGTGTGTATTATATATATATATATATATATATATATATATATATGTGTGTACAATAATATTGAAACATAGAATGTGACAGCAAATAAGAACCATTCGACACATCTAGTCTGCCCAATATTTTGAAATACTTTTAATTAGTCCCTGGCCTTATCTTGAGTCTAGGATAGCCTTATATATAGTGTGTGCTTATATGTTACTCACTCATCTGGGGTGTCAAGACATAGCCTTACATAATATTATTGGTATATTTATTTTTCTAATTCAAAATGTTGGTCCTTTCAGAGTAAAACATTTAATTATACAATATTCATACCCACATTCAGACACAGACAAACTCACTGACACAAGCTCATTAAAGCACAGGCTCACAGACAGACAGACAGACAGACAGA